TCTCATAACAGTATGAATGCTCTACATCTTTCTATAGATAAAGGAGCATTCCATAATATGGGTATAACACAATTCACTTAACAAATTCTCATTTATGGGCATGTAGGTGTTTTATAACCTTCTACTGGAAATAATAATAAATAATGATGGAATGAACAAAATTCGGCAAAAAATATTTTATATGTTTGGAAATTATGTTTGTAGGCTAAAATTTCATTCTTAAATACTATGTAGTTATCTATTAGTTTTATATCAATGTTGTAAAAAAATACCACAATCTTAGCAGCTTAGAAGCACTGATTACAACTGAAATGTCCCTTTTGCAAAGTAGTATATCTATAGATTCTGAAAATAAGGCCAGGAACATCTTACCAGTCTAGGTTAGCCCTTCATGTATATAGAGTTGGGTATATTTTTAAATATTTCCTCTCTCTCTCTCTCTCTCTCTCTCTCTCTCTCTCTCTCTCATTATTCTTTACTTTCAAAATTGTGGATTTTTTGGTTCTTGAACTCATCTCTTCATTTTAAAACAATTAAATTATTCTTTCAGGTTTTATTTCAGAACATTGTTTCATTTTCACATTCAAACTTTAAATATTTTTATTAGTGCATTATAGGTATATATAATAATGGGGTTCACTTTGGCATTTTTATAAATGCATATAACATAATTTGCTCCATTTCATTCCCCAGTATTTCTCCTTTCCTTCCCTTAGTTTAAAATGGACAGTCCCTTCCTCCCTCCTCCTTCCCTCCCTCCCTCCCTCCTTCCTTCCTTCCTTCCTTCCTTCCTTCCTTCCTTCCTTTCTTTTCTGTCTAGATGTCTATTGAATTTACTTATGCAGGGATTCCTAATCCAGAGAGTCTCATAGCATCCATAGGTATTTAATGCAGATGTAAATTTTTAGCTAACTCTTGCATTTCTGTGCATTTTCCCCCAAAGGACAGAAGACTCACAAAATAATTTCCTTATGATATAAAGAATACTAGAACAAGAATTAAGACTGAGTTCTGACTTTTGCTTGATGCTTGCTGAGTCTCTGGTCTGACAATTCTCATGTCTGAAAATGGAACAGGCACATGACATCCTAAATTATTTCCAGTTCCAGAAATATGAGTTCCACCAAACTAACTTATTTTAAATAAAATATTTAGAGACTCAAAATTGTTGCTTCCTTAAGCCAAGTGAATCTAGTCTAGCAATAGAATAAGAGTTCATGTATGTGGGAAAAGGTTAAAGGGTTCTCTGGTTACAAATGAAGTTTTTAATTGCAATATGTTTCAATAATTAAAACATTCAATCAAACTTCTACCCCTAGTAAAATGCATTCTTACAGTAATTACTGAATTGGTAAAAATAATTAATCCAAAACCCTGCCATGGATTTATTTATATTATTTTTTATTGTGAAGGGATTTTACTATGTTTCCCATGGGCAGGGTTTTCAGTTGATTAAAGTTAAGATATAGCTTGCTATTTTCAAAGGAAAAAGTATACTGACAGTAGTAGCAGCAAGAAGCTTACTGAGAGCATATCACTTTAACAATTGAACCCATTTCAGAATATCCTCATGGTGGAATAAGAAATTCAATTCAAACCACTTGGATAAAGTAGAGACATATTCTATATCTCAAGGATTTTGTCTGTTTAATTCGAAGTTTGTGTGAGATGATATTCTATACCTTTTACCTTGCTAGGACTTTATAAAATGCTGCATTGAAAGACAATTAAGAAAAGAATAAAAAAAATAAATTTTTTGAATTTTCATGCAGTAATCTAGTTTGTATATTATTAATACTAAAATATCCCAAGTTTTCTAGGTCATCTTGCTCATAAATTCCATAAACACTATTTAAGTATGAATAAAAATGCTTATGTGATATGCTGAAAGGAAAATTCGCATAATCAAAAATCTATAATTTTTGTGTATGCTAATATTTGTTTTATTTTCTGTAATTTTACATTAGTGTACTATGTTATTGTCATAAATGAATTAGTTTTGGATGTACCTAAGTTTTTGTAAGCCTATAATGAAAAAGAAAAACCACAGTTGAAGAAAATACTTTCATCAGTTATTTGAATGAGTCTACTATTAACAAGAAGTAAATAAGACATATAGAGGATACTCCAGAAGGTTTGATTTAGAGCATAGTATTACATCCTTCTCAATGAACACAAATATAAAATCTGGACATAATTCTTTATATAGCTAAATAAGCTCTCTAAAATTATAAAATTAAATTTTAATAATATAATCTTTAAGTAGCCTAGAATCTAAAATTATTCAGAAAGACTCAGAAAAAATTCAACTCACATAGGATGAATAAACAGATGTCTCTTTCTAGAAGAATTTGATCTTGATATTATCTGACAAGGACTGCAAGTATCTATTAAATAAATATTTTTATTTAATATAATTCAACATATAATTGTGAACTTAAGTTTAAATGAATAGAAAGATGCAAAGTATCAGCAAATAGGAGACATAAAGAAAATCAAATCTAAGAAATAGAAATATAATGACTAAACAAAATTTACACTCCTTAGTAAAACAGAGATGACAAGAAGTGTTAACTTTCAGGTAGATTAAATACTGTCTTAGTCAACTCTGGCTGCTGTAACAAAATATCATAGACTATGTGGCTTCAACAACAGACATTTATGTCACTCTGTTTTGGAGTCTGAAAAGTCCACAATCAAGGTACCTCAGATTTGGTTCTTGGTGTGGGCTCTTTTTATGTTTTGCAGACAGATACTGTTCTACTGCATCTTTACTTTGTGTGTGTATGGAGGGGGCATCTCTTTTTTCTTTTTATAAAGGTGTTATTGAGAAAAAATCAATAAAACCCTCTAGCATCGCTTGTGCTCAATTGTGTTAAAAATCACTAATTTTGGAGGTCAGAGAGCTGAGCAATATGTTATTAGTTTCGCACTAGCTTTATTACTATGGAAGCACCTCTGCCGTGTGGGTTGTGATGGGAACAGTTGCCTGGGTTACTGTTTTAGGAACTTGAAGTCTGCTTTTGCTGAAAAGGCTGACTCTTCACTTGGGGCATGCAGGTGTCTGATAGGGTGATGGGAACAAGATGAAAAAGCTTGACATTTCTGTCTTCATATCATGTCTATTTTCTCTGTGGCCTTAACCATTGGACTAAGTCATGGCATAACTGGAAAACACAGACTTTAAAAGGAGAAAAAAGAGGTGCTACTTGAGTGGCTAGAAAATCTCTACCTATTCCCAGAAAACACATGGGTATTCCTTCCCTTTATGAGTCTCTATATCCTTCATCATTCATACCCTGTATCTGTAACTCCTAATTTCCCTTTAGTTAAGAAGTTGTTCTGTGAGCAAAGCTCCCACATCTCTATTCTTTGACCACTGAGTAAAGCTCTTTCTTCTCCTGTCCCCCTATTTCTTGAGTCACTGAACTTATTAAGCAACAGAAGAATTGAAATTTCCCTTGATTACAAGGGCAATAAACCCATCATTGAAGCTTCACCTCAAGACTTTGTCTAAATCTGATTCCCTCTCAAAACCTTTACTTCCTAATGTCATCACATCACATTGGGAATGAGTATTTCAACAAATTAATGTTGGGGAAACATATATTTAATCCACAACAAAAGCATTATCAAATCTGAATGAAAATGTATTGAAAGAGTACCAAAACTTAGGAATACATGGAGAAACAAAAGTTTTAACACTCTTGTCATTAAAGGAGATATGAGAAGGGAAGCCGTGCCATGTGAGGCAATATTTAAAGAAGTAATTGCTGAAAATATTTTAAGCTTGGCCAATGACATAGACATGCACATTTAAGAAGATTAGTACACATCAAATAGAAGGAACCCTCCACAATTTAAGCTTAAGCTTATTGTTTTAGTCAGCTTTCCCATTGCTGTGACCAAAGTATTTGACAAGAACATCTTAGAGGAGAAAAAGTTAATTTGGGCATCACAGTTTCAATGGTTTCAGTCCATAGTCAATCAAGTCCACTACTCTGGGCCCAATGTGAAGCAGCACATTATGGGGAAAGGGTATGGTGGAAGGAAGCTGTCTCCTAATGGCAATAAGGAAGCAGAGAGAGAAAGCATGGGAAGGGACTACTAGGAAGTGACATCTTCACTGATCCCCTCCTCCATCCATGTCACACCTGCCTACAGTCACCACCCAGTTAGTCCACTCAAATTAGGCTAGACTGATTAGGTTTCATCTCTCACAAGCCAATCATCTCAAGTCTGAACATTCCTGCATTAACAGAAGCTTTTGGTAGATACCTTATATCCAAACCATAACATGTATCAGTGAAAACTAAAAGACAACATATGCCTTGAAACCATCAAGAGAAAGTCAGTGCATTACCTTTGGGAGATGACAATTTAAAGTAAATGACTGAGGATTTCTTATCAGATACTGTGGAGGACAGTGGGAATGTTGCAATTTGAAAGGACTGAAAGAAAACAACCCTCAACTTGGAATTCTATGTCCAGTGAAAATATTCACCCAGAAAGAAAGTGACTTAAAGACATCCGCAGATGAAGGAAAACTAAGAGAATTAATTATCAGAATACCCGATCTTAAAAATTTTTGAAATGAAGTTCCGAAAACAAAAGGCAAATGATATTAGAAGGAAACTTAGAACATTAATAATGAGGGAATATTTCTGACTTCTAGCTTAATCTAGAAGATTAAGCTAGAAGTCAGAAAATCATATATACATATTATATGTATATACACATATATAACAGACAAATAACCAATAGATAATCAAAATGTTAAACAAAACAAAGTTTTTGTTTTGTGAAAGACACAATTAACATAATGAAAAATCAACCCTAGATAAAGTAAAATATTGATAATCATGTATCTGACAATGTATTATATATAGAATATATTACAAATTCAATATATGTAAAAATTCAACAGTAAAAATATAACAATATAATATAAGAATGGGCAAACACTTGAATAGATTCTTTGCCAAAGATGATATAAGCTTGACATATAATAACATTAAGAAATTTAAATATAATTTATTTGTTAAGGAGTTGCAAATTAAAAAAATAGACTAATACCACTGCATATGTACTTGAATGGCTAAAATGAAAATTTATAATAATGCTGTTATTATATAGATATGAGATGTAACCCAAAAGCTTAAGTATGAGACAACACAGAAAGTTCAGAGGTGAAATAGATTGTGAAAGCTGTAATTTAATTAGTAGATTTATTCATTGATACTGATAATTGGTAGTTAATTAACTGGCATGTAGGGTGTGGCTGGAAGAAGTAGGTCACTGGGGAGAATGACTTTGGAGTTTATATTTTGTCCCAGGTGAGCAGAATTCTTTCTCTGCTTCTTGGTTGCCATGTTCAAACTACTTTCCTCTGCCATTTGCTTCTGCCATTGTGTTCTGCTATGCTGTGAGCTGACGATGGACTAAACCTATGAAACCATGAGCCAAAATAAACATTTCCTCCTCTGAGTTTTTCTTGTTAGGTCTTGTGGTCACAGCAATGAAAATCTGATTAAACCAGAAATTGGTACTAAGAAGTAAGGAAGTTGCTGTGACTATGTAGTTCAGAAGTCTTTGTTACTTGTTTGTAGGAGGGATTTTGAAAAATTTAGAGATGTAAGCTGAAAAATCTTTATAATGTCATAAGTGAGCTTAGTGGGTGATTCTGGTGAAAGCCTAGAAGATCAGAATTCCAGTATGACTGTGGACAGTAAAGACTGGGTTAGTGAGTTTTCAGAGGAAGGACTCTATTGGAAATTGTACTAGAGGCCACTCACGTTTCATTCTGGTAAAAATGTTTTCTACATTTTGCCTGTTTCCTAAGATTTTCTGTGAGTCTGAATGTGGCAGAGAAAATTTCAAGGAGCATAGCTCTCAGGCAGTGGAATGGACATTGCTGGTGGCTTTTAAACAAGCTTACTATTATAATCATAAGTAGAAAGCAGAGCAAAAGATTTGAAAATCTTGTAGCTTGGCTGGAAAAGTGCAAGTAAAACTGGTGCAAAGGAAGTTGTGGTTGTTACAGAGATTATATTGACTAAAGAGAAGGTAAGTACTTTACATAATGCCAACAGGAGAGATGGCAATCAAGAATTGGCAAGATCATGCCCATTGTAGGCTCAAAGGTGTAAAAGTAAAAATTCCTTTGAGAAGAGACCAGTGGGGCACCTTGCTTGCACAGGAGGCCGAGGAAGTGGTTTTATTGTTCCCAGTCACTTATACATTCAAAGGCTTCTATAGTCATGGTACCTTGGGGCTTGGCTACTGCTCAAGATGGTGCAGACCTTGGCATGAACCACCTTGGTATGGTTGTGCAGGACTACAGGATGCTGGAATTAGGGTGTTTTTTAGTCAACTTTTCCACTGCTGTGACTGAAAGACCCTACCAGAACAACTGTAAAGAAGGAAAAATTTATTTAGGGGGGCTCACAGTTTCAGAGGTCTTAGTCCATAGAAGGCTGCTCCATTCCTCGGAGCTCCAGGTGAGGCAGAACATCCTGGCAGAAGAGTATGGCAGAGGAAAATATCTCACATGTTGATCAGAAAGGAGAGAAAGGCAGGAAGGGAGGGAGGGAGGGAGGGAGGGAGGGAGAGAGACAGAGAGAGAGAAGAGAGAATACACTGCCATATACAGATATATATACCCCAAAGCCATACCCCCAATTCTTACTCCTCCAGCCATACCCTACCTCTTTAATTATCACTCAATTAATCCCTATCAGGAAATTAATTCATTGATTGGGTTAAGCCTCTCACAGCCCAATAATTTCTCCTTTGAACCTTTTTGCATTTTCTCACATATGAGCTTTTAGGGGATATCTCACATGCAAACCATAGCAGGTTGTCATAGAGGTTTCCATCCATATTTTAAAAGAAGACCTTTGAGGCTAGAAAAAGTGTAGCAGGGTTGGAATCCCTGCAGGCAGCTCCAAAGAGGATGATGTATGAAGATGTGAGGAGGCCAAAGCTTTAGTAATGACCTGTGAGATTAAGAGATGCCAACAAAGTGGAATGTCTGCTAAGGAAAAATGCAGGAATTGAGCACCAAGCCAAGAAAGAGTTCATGTGGGCTGCAACCAGCTAGGCCACAGAGGCAGAGCTATACAAGCCCTTTGGAGAGAACACGATGATGTCATCTGGCCCAAATGTTGGCCATGGAACTATAGGACTTGTTTGCCCTGCTGGATTTCAATTTTGCTTTGGCCCCTCCTTCCTTTCTATGGTCCTATTTCTCCCTTATGGAAAGTAAATATTTATTTTGTACCATTATATATTGGATATATGGTCTTCACAGGAGAAAATATTAATGAGTTGGCCTTGAGTCTCAGGTGAGATTTTGGATTTGTATTTTTGGGTAATACTGGAACTGTTACGACTATGGGGAATCTTAAAAATGGAAGAAATGTATTTCGCTTTCTGAATGGAGCATGAGCTTTCAGGGGCTGGGGTGGAATGAGATGGTTTAGATAGGAGATACTTTCCAAATACTCATGTATGAGACAATGCAAGAAGAGATAAAGTGACTAGATTATGAGAATTGTAACTTTCTTAGGGGATATGAGTTAACTGGGTGGTAATGGTGGGCAGAGAGGGTACGACTGGACACAAGTGACTGAGGAGGGCCTTTGGGGTTTATATTCTCTCCCTGTTGAGTGGAGCTTTCTCTTTGCTGACTGGTTAACATGTCCTGTGAGGCTTTCCTTCACCATACCCTTCTACCTGGGACCACAGCTATGGTGTCCACTGATGATGAACTGAACTTCTGAAACTGTGAGCCAAAATCAACCTTTTCTCTTCTAAGTTGTTCTTGTCAGGTTCTGTAGTCAAAGAAAAAAACAAAAACAAAAATAAAAACTGAAACAAACATCAAGGGTCAATGAGGTTGGAACTTACATGAATTGCTGGTGAAAATTTTAAACTAATGCACCCACTCTGGAAAATAGTTTTGCAGCTTTTTATAAAGTTAAGCTTACAAATTTCCTAGCAATTTTACCCATGAGTACTTACCATAGAGAAATGAAGTTATTATTGCATAAAACTGAATATGAATCTTTATTGTAGTTGTACTCCTAGTCACTCCCAAGTTAAAAAAAAAAAGAAAAAACTTAAACATTCAATTGGTAAATAAACAAACTGGAACCTGCTACAAATCAATTAAAAGGATAAATCATTGACAAATGCACTAACCTGAATGAATTCCAAAGCATCATAAGTACCCAAAAAGCCAGTCTCAGATACTGTAAGATTGTATTTATTAAACATTCTTGGAAACATATAGCTAATGAAGGAGAACAGACATAGGAGTAAAGATGGAAGGAAGATTGACAGGGATAAAGAGGGAAGAAAGAAATGAATACAGAAGAGTTAATGTGAGCGTTTTGAAGATGGTCAAGTATTTTGGTACACTAATTATGATGGTGGATACACCAATCTATGGATTTATTAAAATTCATAGAACTGTATTACAGAAAAGGCAATTTTTATGTAAGGTAACTTAAACAATAAAATTAATTTCAGGAAAGAAATGTCCTTTGTTTTGTTCTTAGAAAAAATTGTAGAAACATTCCTGTAATTAGAAGTAAACAGTTGATACATTTGCAGAAAGCAATGTGTGAATTTTCTCCTGTGGCTTACATAGACTTGTTAAAGTAAGCATTACTGAATTTTAAGAAATCACATATTCCTGAAATTAGATTTGACTTGATTCTTTGAAGTGTACCTTTTTATATGACTCCCTAGTCTGTGAGGGAGTAGTGGAAGGATGAAAACTACTTACAAAATCGACTTTGGAAGTTAACTTGTATATACAGGAACACATGCTGAAGAATTCCATTGCTCTCATAAGACTTCTAAATCCACATCTTGAAGGCTGTTTAAATTCTCAAGGGTTCATGTGGTAGACCCTGAAATGTAATAGATAAGCATCTGTACCAGTGAGATAAATTTCTCTCTTTGGATTTTGAGTAAAGGAAATATTTTTCTTTAGTCTTGCTATGAAAATAGAGTGAATGGGAACCTCTATTTTTTTTCTTCTCAGTCACAGTCCCTTTATGGCATGTATTTGCTTTGTTATTAATCAGGCATTACCTATCCAGAGATGACTAGAAAATTTGTCTTTGCGGTCATTCAAATAACTTTTCTGAGCCACCTGCTTGGAAGTAAGCATATTCTATCCTTTTGGGTTATAAATGCAAAATCCTTGTCAAGGCTGAAATTAAAACCTTCATATAAGGTGTGTTTTATAGAAAAGTTATTTGGCCTTTCTGGTTTTTTTTTTTTGTCTGTTCCTAGGTTTATGTGTAAACAAAAAATGCTAATTACTGTTTATTTTTCAGGGGCTTAGCATTCAGAGCAGATGATAACTCACCAGAGTTGTATTCAAACGGGTTTTATAGGTAGATCTTTCTTGATGATCTTAGATTGTGCATCCTGGACATATGTTAGACTTTAATAGCTTTACACCTTTTGTATGATGAAAAAATATCATTTTGACCTTTTGATAATTACACATTATTAGCTCCATTTCAATTGTATTTTCAGATAATGGATTATAACTATTTTTCTCTTTCATAGGTTTTCTCCATTCTTCCTTACACTATTTTTTTTATCACTTTCACCCCTTATTTTAACCTTTTTTTTTTCCTTCTCAAAAGATAAGGTAGAATTTTTCTCTATATTCATCTGTGTTGTATCTTAGCTGCTGGGCAGGAAGATGTCAACTTCCACTACTGCTGAAAATGAAAAGTAAAATTTTTTAGGTAGTAGCTAATCTCAAAATGGAATAATTTATTTATTTTGAAAGTAGAGGTGATATTGATTTTTTTTTATGTTTTGACCCATGAACGCTAAAACAATATTGAAATCTAAAATCTTTATTGTGAACTTTATCAAAATTTGGCAGGATTTCCTCCTCTACCACAGAGAATGAAACTCTTCAGCAGGCATCTCCAAAAGAACACAAATCTGCTGGAAGTTTATCAGAGTCCTTGGAGAATAATGTCTCTGAGAAAAAGGTCTCCATTATTTGAATGTGCTCCATGAATCCAGTCATGAATGTGTAGGCTGTAAATTTTTTTCAGACCAAAGTTCTGAATGGAGTTAGTTAGATCTTAATTTAGCTTTGACTTTTTTCTGAAGGTAAATATTTGCTCTCCATCGATCAATGAATGATTGCAATTTCTTGCTGTTACTCTGAGGAGTTTTACGGCAGACTGTAATTTCCTTTGAAATATAGTTGTCCTGAGGCAAAACTAAACACATAATCAGCTCAACCTGAAAAACAGGAACAAGAAGCTGCTGTAGGGCTTGTTTTTCATGTTTTATCCTCCCCCATACTTCCCCATTCCTAGTAAGAATCATCTCTTGGCTCTTTAAGGGACTTGTTTCTGTTGGGGCAAAGGCGTGATTCCTTTTTAGGAAGGGTGAGCTTACCTTTCAAAAAAATCTGTTATAACCAGTCATCCTGCTCTTATAAGAAATTAGCCTCTACCTTTATATAGAAGATATCATTATTTTCATTTTATGGGTATAGATGCAAATTTTGCTTTGGTGGTAAAGAGCAGAAGAAGTTCTCTTGTTCTTGAACTATTTAAAATTTTACTGCCAGTGTCTTGGAGGAGAAAGGAAGAAAGATGAATACAATAGACAAATAGAAGCCCAGAATAGCATGTGGAAATGAGTGGTATATATGAATAAAAAGTGGAAAAGACAGAGAAAAAAACATCTTTTAGTAGCAACATATTTAGGTATTAAGCAATTAAAATCAACTTAACAAGCACATAAGGTAAAAATGATTAGATCACATGTGCCTAAGATGCCACCTAACACCGAGAACTTAATAAGTTCTCCCCTTCAAAGCAGGTCTGTGTAGCATTTCATTATTTAGAATGAGAAATATTGTTAAATAGTTGTTTATCCACTTACCTAATAAGATTGATCACTGCATATCAATCCTGTGGCAAGATTCTTCTATTAACAGAAACAAATATTAGAATAGTCCTTCACAAAATCACATTCTTATTAAATGTGTGAGAAGACATATGCTACTTCTCATTTGATAGTTGGTTTGTTTTGCTTTGTTTGACTGTCCCACATAATATTTTCTATTATCCACATTGGGGAAGTCTCAGTATGTGAAGTCTCAGGATATTTCCTAAATTTGAAAGCAGAAGAGGCAGACATTCTCCATTTATTCTCCTGGCCCTTGCAGTTAGGGTGCTGGTGTGTAACTTATGTTCCATGAATCTGATATTACCAATTTGCTGTGTGGAGATGATCAAACCAATATCAGGGCATAGTCCATATTCAGTTGTTGAAGTTGCAACCATAAATAATGATCTGTGGCAACATCCTGAGCAAAGGTTCTCCTGCCAAATGCAGTGATCTGGTCTCTTGATTTTTTTCCCATTTGGAATTTTCTTGAAGCCTCTCTGCTCTCCAAACTTGACCCTCCATGTTCAAGGTAATTTCCTGAACACTTAAAACTCATCTAAATCTGTCTCTCTCGTTTTTCTTCTTTTCTTTGTTTTTACCGTGGAGTTCCAGATTCAAATTCATTATTTTAAATCAAGAACCCTCTCCAAATCCATAGAGTAAATCATTTTGAGGACAGATAAACCCACCTAAGAAAAATATATCTGGTCAATCTGCCCTTACCAATAAAACAGTGTCTACCTATATGAAGGAAGAAGGAACTGACAAAAGCTAGCCCCTCTAATCTTGATTTCTAATTGACTCACATCTTTTTTTTTTTTAACACAGGTAGTGCTTCATCTGCTAATATTGTTATCAGTAGGTATTTTGATTTCATTAACTTAAAAATGAAGGGGAGAAATGATCTTTCCTTGGCTGTGCAGAGAAAGATTCTGTGTATGCAATTCATTTGTTTCTGAATTTAAAAATAAATTTAATTAGAACTCATATTCACTCTATATTTGCTGTTTCCTGAATCCAGACTCTTCCTTCCCCTCAGTTCTATGTGACTGGAATCCCTAACCCTTCCATGATGGCCACACTGCTTTGCATATTTAAAAATACATTTTGGAAATGATTATATAATTGGTTAAGCAAGGGAACAAAAATAAATAAAACAGACTAGAATCTTGTTAATCTATAACTATTTTGAACATGGTAAATAATTTCTCTGCTAAAATAAAATGAAAATGCATAAAAGGATTGTTTGTTTGTTGATGTTTACAGAATTCACAAATAAATGTATATTGCAGACGATTTTATGTGAAAATTTTATACACAGTTGCTATGCATACACATGCAGAGTAAAGTAAACATCAGAGTGGCATTTGAGTGACTTCCTTAAATATCACTTTTTAAGAACTTAGAGTTTCTATCAGAGATATGACATTTTTCTTCCAGGGATTTTGAAAACTGCAAAGTGTCTAAATTTCAAGATAGGAATGGATTTGTGTCCTCAGAAGTGGTTTCTCCTTTTCAAGATAGGAAATTGAATTTGAACCTAAAGGGCTAAAGCACTTTCCTTCAGAAGATCAGTATATGCCACACTCCAAAGCTGGAGTGCTCACTTTCCATCCTATTAATCCAAGTAAATTCACTTCATCTATTAGGTCAGTTAATAAGAATCTATTTCCAGATCTCCATCAGGAAGGAGGAGTCATCTAAATGTGGGATATTTAAGTTAGGAAACATGACTTGAGCTGAAGAGTGTGTGTGTGTGTGTGTGTGAGAGAGAGAGAGAGAGAGAGAGAGTGATTTGTCCCCTCTCAGTTTTTATAGTATGTATCATTACCTGCTCTCATGCTTTTCAAAACACACATATCTTTAGCACACTTGAACAATCATTTTGTAGTTACATATATGTAACTCTGAAATGTAGAGTGTCATGGTTGGTCTTGCAACTGTTTATTTTAAATACTTTTTGAAATTTATTTTACTTTATCTTGTTTCAAATGTGTTTATCTTAGTACGCTATTATTACAGGAAATGTACATGAATTCACAGCTTACAAAGTATTCAGATTGAGCACATCTGTGTAACCAGCAACAGACTAAGAAATAAGATATTACTATCTCTATTTTTCAGTCACCTTTTCAGTCACCATACTGGTCTTTCTCTCTCCCTCATTCAACTATCACTGTTCTGTTGTAGCACTCTCTGGTCACATTGGCCTGTTGCTCCTCAGTTTATTAATCAGCTATTCACCAAAGAGGAGAGTATGTCCACAGATCTTGGTAATCTCCATTGTTTTTGTCATTTGGTTTTCAGCTCAGTCTTCCACCCACTGTCTTCTGAGAAGGCTTCTCCTGTCTGCTGTCTCAGTCTACTTCTACCAATGATCCTACTCTAGTGCATTATTCTATTATATTTTACTCTCATGCCCATTTCTATTTGGAGTAATTTTGGTCATTTGTTTATTTTCTATCTCCCACTCTCTAGAATGGAATTTCCGCTATGACAGAAACCTGTTATTTTGTTTATTCGCTTCTGAAATAATGCATGATTAATTGGCAATAAATAATTGGATCAGGGCGGGAATGAAATGAACAACTTGTTCAAATTCCTCTTGAAGACTTTTTAATAGGTAATCAAGTAAATATTTTACAATGAAATGGAGCAATAAGTATGTAAATAAATTTATGTGGAAAAACTCCTAAATGTATGGCTGTGATCATTCTGAGTCATGCTTATGAACAAGTTGGAAAGATCACTGGAATGACTAACATGACCCCCTACTTGATACATTTATTCTTTATTTGCTTGGTGAAATTTAAGTAAAAAGAGATTGCTGGGAAGTAAGGAAAATTAAAGTGGCCATCCTCATTTCATTTTTCCTGGTACTGTTATATTTTACCTTTAGAAAGTAAAAATATGAAACAAAAATGGTATTTCCTGCTACATAATAGAAGAAAATTGAAAAGAGATGTCATATTTCTAGACAGTGAGACTATGAATTTTTATTTCATATCTTATGCATTACTTTGGGGAAGATTTTATTTTTTTTAAATATTTTTTTAAAGAGAGAGAATTTTTAATATTTATTTTTTAGTTTTCGGCGGACACAACATCTTTGTTTGTATGTGGTGCTCAGGATGGAACCCGGGCTGCACCCATGCCAGGTGAGCGTGCTACTGCTTGAGCCACATCCCCAGCCCCAGGAAGATTTTATTTTTAATGGATAAGCATATAGGTATTCCCTATTGTTACTCTATAATGTGTTGTAACTACCCTATTGTAACTATGATCTATTACAAATAACACCAGTGTTAGAAGCCTTCAGAAATACAAGTTCAAAGCTTTTGTTTTACCTTTAGAGTTATTTTTGTTCTCTGAATCAAGGACTCATAGGGAACACATTTTCATACCTTATGTTATTAGGAAGTAGAATAGTTTAACAAATTTTCTAAGAAGTGCTAAATATTGTGCTAAACATTATGGTAAACATTGATAAAACTTAGGGCAGGGAGCTCCAGTTTGAAGTCTTTAAATTAAAAAAAAAAAAGTCTATTTTCAATACTGAAAAGTGATTTCTTTTTTTGTTTTCTTAATGGAAATGATTCCTTTAATACATTCATAAAATTGAATTTTCCCTTTAAAATATCATTTTGAAGATAATCACATTTATTGCAGAACCTCTCCAATACAAGCTTAGGTAAAATTAGAAAAAGAGCCTCACTTAGGCAATATCCTTTCTCTTTCACTGTTTTTGCCTTTGCATGCAGAATTTCCCATGACAGCTGGGTGAGCAAGGGTGCACTATGGCAGTGTTAAAACATGCCAAGTTTCCTTACAAGCTGTATCTGCCAAACAGATAAATGTGTGGTGTGAATTAACAAGCATGCTGCACCTGGGTTTTCTCAGTGATATTAAAAATAATTCTTCTTATAGCTCAGGTGTTATAGCACTGGTGCCATAAGACCCAATATTAATAAGATTTGTATGCCCTGAAGCTAAATAGGGAAGTTTCCGAACGGTGGGAATATAATTCTAACTTCTCAAATAGCATGGGAGGTTTTGCCTTAGTTTTAGAAGAAGCAATGGGAAGAAAGAAAGGTAAACATCAGAACTATGTAGTCAGCAGATGCATCCGATTGAATTTAGATAACATAAAATAAAAATCTATGACTTTTATTGAGTGATTAACACGTACTTGACCCTTTTCTAGTGTTCAAAGTTTATTAACTACTTGGTTTCTCTATTCAGTTCTGCAAGCTGCTTCCCTCCTGCTTCTTTTCATCTTTTAGTACTTGTTCTTTTTCCACAATGTTCATTATCGGGTATCATACCAGATATTCTCTTTAGGTATTATGTTTTATTTTCTGGTTGTCTGCCTTTTCTACCAGAATATGTACTCCTCAAGGACATGTATCTTTGTTTTAATAAAACAGACTACATTTTGCTACAGTAACAAACAACTTCAACTCTCAAAGGCTTGAAACAATAAAGTTTATTTTTTTTGCAGTATAATATGTACATCATGAATCTTGTGGCATTTCTATATCACACAGGATTCCAGGATTAGAGATTTCATCTCAAGACAGGGCCTCCATGATCACAGATGCTTGAGGGAGGCAAATGTGATGAATTGCTCTCTTGAACTTAAGCTTTCTATGGAGAAGTGACACATGTCACTTCCACTCACATTTCATTGAACAATGAATGTCAAATGGCCATGCCTGATTTCAACAGTGCTGGAAGGAGATTATATTGTAGTAAACAGAATACAACTTACCATCTTTCCTCATTGATTGCTAGATCATAATTGTTGGTGCTTAGAAGATCATAAGTAGATACTCATATCTAACATTGTTTCATGAAAAAGGAAAATGGAGCAAACAGAGAAAAGGGAACTTGTCAAATTTTAGGAAGAGCAGTGTATGAAGCCAGATTTTTATTATGAAGCATTCCTTGACTCTTAACTCCTACATTGATAAGTTGATAAAAGATGAGTCACAGTAATGAGTTTGCATTTTATTTCTTAGATTTAGTTAGTAGGATTCCAGTTTTTGTGCAATAACCCAGACAAGTGATATACTTCATCTGGCATACTTCCTCTATTCTGCCAAATGGTCTTTGAAGTTGACCAGTTTGCAAAAATAAGGAAGACAATTTTGTCTATGGTGCTGAGATGGAGGTACATTTTATTTTAAGGTCAGAGCTACTGGATATTTATTTTCCCAATTTAAATTAATTAAAAATCAATAGATTCAGGAATATGTATTTTGTATTGTACAATTGTGAAAATAAAGGAGAAGTTTATTTTCATAATTTATAAACGTGGGAAATGTCTTTTCAACATGTTGTATGTCTTGAAAACATATAAAACACAATGTTTTGTGATTTGCTGGGAAAAAAAAATTTAAAGAAAGCATTTGAATTAACAAATCAAAGAGACTCTGGAAGTTAAGATGGAAAATAAAACTATCATGTATTCATGAGACAAAAATATTAATGGATCTCAGTTTTTTTATTTATTTTATTTGTATATGATAGCAGAATGCGTTACAATTCTTATTACACAATTTTTCATATCTCTGGTTGTATACATAGTATATTTACACCAATTCATGTCTTCATATATGTATTTGGATAACAATGATCATCATATTCCACCATCATTAATTACCCCATGCCTCGTCCCTTCCCCTCCAACCCTCTGCCCTATCTAGAGTCTGTCTATTCCTCCCATGCTCTCACTCCCTATCCCCCGATGAATCAGCCTCTTTACATCAAAGAAAACATTTGGCATTTGTTTTTTTGGGATTGGCTAACTTCACTTAGCATTATCTTCTCTAACTCCATTCATTTACCTGCAAATGCAATTATTTTATTCTCTTTTATTGCCGAGTAATATTCCATTGTGTATATATGCCACATTTATTTTTATCCATTCATCTATTGAAGGACATCTAGGTTGGTTCCACAGTTTAGCTATTGGATCTCAGTTTTAAATAAGGAATTCCTTGTTTGAGGACAAAGTGTTATTTTACAGCAGAAAGTGCCAGTGCCTATTGGAGGAAATGTTTAATATCATAGATATTTTGTCCAGAGGAAAATGATACCAAAATATTATAGACCATACTGAATTCCAGTGTTAGAAGTACAAATATGATGCCAATTATTTGTAAAGTATTCTATATCATTCATTGAACCTGCAAATGTTCACTTAGTACATGCCATGTGGCAGAGACATAAGTATAGATATCATAGTAGATTGTAATATTAATTGAGTATGCTTTAAGATTATCTTATTCTTTCTGGTATGTATTAAAATGATTCAGGTTTTCCTGAATTGTACTTAGGGAATATATATTATTATGATTTTTTGTTTTACAGCAGGTATATATACAAAGAACCTAAAATAAGTTGTTGTTCTGAATATTTTGAACAATTTTGAAAGACAGTTTGCTTTTGTTTGACAGTTCAGTACACTATTGCAAAAGTTTATAGAGAATTCCTCTAAATTTTCCTTAATCATGTGACTTTTTTTTCTATTTGGGTAAAAAAGGGATTATTTGCTTGATAATTTCTCTCTACATTCATTTGTCAGTATTATACATACTATCTAATGTGTATAATATGAGGTAATGCAATATTTGAAAATTATATTTCCCAGATATTATTTATATTAAAATTATTTATCAATTACATTTTTCATATGTTGAATTACAAAACAAACCAATAATATGAAAATGCTCAGGGTTTCAGATAGTATAAACAAGGACCAGTATTCTAATCCTGGTTAGTCTGGGGTTGACTATATGTGATTTGGTAAGAAAGTATACTAAATTACAAGTATGGGGTTTTTTTGGACTCATTTTTAAGGAGAAAAATAAATATCACGTTTAAATTTTGTCCCCCAAACTGTACTTCATCAATTAATTCACAAGAAAATTCCTGGGAATTTCATTTAGCATCTTTGCAACATCTATTAATCTGGTGGTAAATTCATTGTTTCTTTGTAAAAGATGTTGGATGTTGGGCAGAACTTTATCCTGTTGCTTTTTGTTAAGATGTTAGAATCGTATTTTTAAACTATATACGTAATGGAGCAGAAATCAATATTAAATGTAAGTTATGGGAGCCCTTATTTTAGACTAAGCTGCTGTATTAGGCCCCAACAGATCAAACCATAATGGAGTCACTTAGGCCAGAGTTTCATATCGCTAAACCAAAACTAAGTTCGTTTTCTGATCCTCTAAGAAATCAGGAGAGATGATAGCCAAATTCCCAACAGACCAGTTTTGGTTGGCATGTTAAGGAAGTCTCCTTTCTAACTTTTAAAAGGAAATGAATCTAAAATAACTTAATGATAATGAATCTGCTTCTTGTGAATTCCTTGTTCCTGCTCAAGGTATCTCATACAAACTATTTTAATACGACCAAAGTAGCACCTCTCTTTTTTAGACAAAATGCTTCCTGATTAATAAATCACAAAAAAGCAAGTTAGATCACTCAACTAAACTTGTTGAAATTTTGTAGAAATTTACACAAAAACCTTTACACAATTTCCCATCTGCAAAACACTTAATTCTAAAATCTTGTGGTTTTGACAATTACCAGAAACAAAAAAATAATACAGTCTTAACATACATATGATTTTGAAAAATACTATTCAGTACAACAGCGCTCCCTATACTTTTCGTTAGAATTCAATAAATCTTTCTTGCTGCTCTTTTATTTTTGGTGGTGGGGCGGGGGGCAGGTAGTGTATGTTTGAAAGGAAAGTACTTCAAATGAAGCAAATCCTGGAGACTATTACACAAGGCCAAATCTTTGCCCATAAAATAAAAATATTCTCTGTTCAGTGAAATGAGGCAAGGATATGAAAGCAACAGAGACATAAAATTGGAAGCAACAGGAGGCATCTGAATGATGAACTTTCTGCACTACAATATTTAGTTTCAAATGGCATATTCTTCAATTTGAATAAATATGAACAACAAAAGCATTAACACCCCCAGCAGCTGATAGATCATAAATTTTAAAGAACTATAAAGACAAGTAAACAAAAGTGGCAATAAGGGAAAATTAGTCATTGTTTATGTGCATACATTTTGGGTCATTTCTGAAGTGTTGAATTATAATTTAATTGATAGCATTTTGCCTCTTTTTACCT